CCAAAGACAAAAAGAGAAAAGAATCTGAAACACTTGTAAAACTTCTAAGTTTTGCCAACGCAATCCTAAGTTGCATTAACAGATGGATACAATCAAGATCAAGGGTACTAAGATAAAGCCTTAGTAAGGACCACACCTAGAGTACTGCATCCAGTTTTGGTCACCACACTATAAAAAAGATGTTGAGACTCTAGAAAGAGTGCAGAGAAGAGCAACCAGGGTGATTAAAGGATGATTGAAAGCTAATACATACGATGAACGGTTACAGGAACTGGGCATGGCTAGTCTAGGGAAGAGAAGGACCAGGGGAGACATGATAGCCATGTTCCAATATTTGAGGGGCTGCCACAGAGAGGAGGGGGTCAAGCTATTTTCCAAGGAACCTGAAGGCCAGATAAGGAATGATTGAAACTGACCAAGGAGAGATTCAACCTGGAAATAAGGAGACATTTTCTGACAGAACAACCAACCCAGGGAAGGTGCCTTCAGAAGTTGTGGGAGCTTCATCACTGGAAGAGACAGTTGAGTCAATGACCCCAAAGAGACAGTTGTCCTCTGCAGTTGGCTCTGTTTGTCCAGCCTCTTTTCGATGAGGACAAGAACAAGCATCTCTCAACTCGTCTTCAAAAATATACCAGAAGGTCACAGATTCTTTTACATACACTCAAGACCAGGGGTGTCAAACTTGATTTCATTGAGGGCTGCATCAGGATTGTGTTTGACCTTGGGGGAAGGAAGGCTTCGTTGGCCAGCTCAACGTCACTTGTGTCGGAGGTCCCTGTGGTGGCCCCCAATGCTCGCGGCCTTCCTGAGCTCCGTTTTCACTAGCAGAGGGTTGCAGGAGCCCATCGCAGCAGAAAATGGAATTCGGGAGGACTGCCCATGGCTCTCCCAAGCTCCCTTTAGCTGGGAGAGGCATCACAAGCCAGTTCTTTCCTGTTTCCAAGGCAGCCCTGTGGGTTGGATATACTAAATGCCGTGCAGGATGGATTAAAGCACCCCGCGGGATGGATGCAGCATGCAAGCCTTGAGTTTGACACCCCTGCTCTAGACACTGGGCACCCTATGGCCAACCCAAAGATGCACACAAGCACTCAAAGGATAGTACTCACTGTGCCCTTCTTCCCAATTCTCCTCCATCCACTCGTTTTTACTCCTTGTGATTCCTCCTGCCAGAGGGCAGCAACTTTTTCTATCCGTCTTGGGCTTGTTTAGGCTGCTTTTGCAAACAAACTTCAACTTTTCCACACCCCTTGTCTGGTCAGATTTTATAACCAAAGCTGCTGAGCTGTCTAGGGAGAGAGAGAGGGCAGTAGCAACACAGGAGCTGGTCCATTGTGCAGGTAGGCTGACTTCTCCCCGCCCTCAGCCTCAAATTGTTGGGGGAGATCCAGCCCTTTTCATACTGTTTTCCCACACGATGCCTCCTTAATCTTCTCTAATGCCTCCTGGCATGATTTAGTCCATTGTCCTTTGGAAGGTTCTGTTTTTCCTGTTAGGTCTGTTAAAAGTTAAGCAGAAGCAGAGAAATAAGGGATAATCCCTTGGAAATACCTGCCAAACTCAGAAAAGAACAACAGATGATGTTTTGGGGGGTGCTTCCTTCTGTTTCAGCGCTCCCACCGTTTCCTGCTGAGGCTTTACCTCCCCTTTGCCAAACATGCGCCCCCAAAATTGGGCTTCCGGATATCCCAAATGGCATTTTTCTGGGTTTATAGTCAACCCTGCAATTGCTCGACCATCCATTTTTTTTTGTTTTAGGAGTTGAAGGTGTTTCTCCCAGATCTGGCTGTTGATGTGGATATCATCTAAATAGGCAGCCTAGTTTTCCCCTTGACCTGGAAAGATTTTATTCATTATCCACATGAATGTAGCAGGTGCCCCATTTAAATCAAATGAAGCTTTAAAAAAAACACATGAAAGAGTCATTTTATAATGCCTTTATAAGGCCACACTTGGAATACTGCATTCAGTTTTTGGTCACCACAATGTAAAAAAAGATGTGGAGACTCTAGAAAGAGTGCAGAGAAGAGCAACAAAAATGATTGGAGGACTGTAGGCCAAAACATATGAAGAACGGTTGCTGGAATTAGGTATGTCTAGTCTAGTCAAAAGAAAGACTAGGGACAGTGGAGGGTTCCCGATCCTGTTCCAACTGGTATGGTTGGAACGGGCCCAGCGGCATCCAGATGGACACGCGCAGCATGCATTCACACACATGCAGCGTGCACATGCGTCTTAGCGCCTCCAAGAGCCTCCGCGATGCTCCAGCTGATCAGCGGAGCGTTGCGCAGGAGCTGTATGCACCGTGCATGTTGGCAAAAGCACCGAAGACTTAAAAGACCGGTAAGGAGCTTGAGCGGGCGGGTGGGCCCTCCGCAGCACCCTACTGGAACGGTATCCGGTGCTCCAGGCAGGCTCCGGTACGCCCATACTGGGGCCTACCACCTGCAACCCACCTCTGACTAGGGGTGACATGATATCAGGGTTCTAATATCTCAGGGGTTGCCATAAAGAAGAGGGAGTCAAACTATTCTCCAAAGCACCTGAGGGCAGGACAAGAAGGAATGGGTGGAAACTAATCAAGGAGAGAAGCAACTTAGAACTAAGGAGGAATGTTCTGACAGTTAGAACAATTAAATCAGTGGAACAGAAATTGCCTCCAGAAGTTGTGAATGCCCCAGCACTGGAAGTCTTTAAGAAGATGTTGGATAGCCATTTGTCTGAAGTGGTGTAGGGTTTCCTGCCTGAGCAGGGGGTTGGACTAGAAGACCTTCAAGGTCCCTTCCAACTCTGCTATTCTAAATTCTAAAACTTTTGAGTCCTTTTGGTGCAGCAAAGGCCATCTTTCTTTGGCATGGTGTTCCAGGGTGGATTTGCCAATATCCTTCAGTTAAATCCAAAGATAATATATGTATACTTGGCTCTACCCAGGCCATCCACAAGCAAATCCACCCATCAATCTTTGCTCCTCTGTTTATTTGCCTGAAGCTTACACAAAGTCACCTGTCCTAGCGTGGATTTGGAACCAAAACAATGAAGAACCACCAGTTGCTGACAATGGTTTTAAACTGTCCCACTGGAGTCCCACCTTTTCTACTTCATTTCATAAGATCTATTTTAACTGCTCAGGAATCCATTAGGGACATTGTCTAATACAGTGTTTCTCAACCTTGGCAACTTGAAGATGTCTGGACTTCAAC